TCACAAGATCAGTTCGAATGGATTTGGTTCAGCCAATTTGATCTCATCCTTCCAGAATACCAACCCTACCATTTTGCCATCATAGTGTCAAACATTTAAATGAGTCCAGTATCCTGCCTTCAACCATCCATCCTGGTAACCTGTTCCAATCATTCATTACCCTCTGGGGAAATTCAGAGGAGAGCTCCCACCCCCAACAGTGTGCCTCATAATCGCCAATCTCAAAAAAGGCCACCTGCCTGAATGCGCAGTTGCTTCCAGATTAAATAGTGATTCACTTCAGTGGTTGTTTGTGGGACATCAGTGTGTGCCAATTACTTGCTCCTTTCACCTAGAAAATACCACAATCACTCCACTGTACAGTATATGAAGTGATTCACAAGAGCCTCTCGACACAAAGGGTACTGTATCAAATTTAAGAATTATAATTGTGGGATTTTGCTATGCACAATGGCTCGTCACTTTTATATGCAAAAAGGAAATAGGGACTACATGGGATAGTAAGTGTTGCAATGTGAATTGAGACATTTTAATATGAAAGGCGCACTATAAAAAAGTAAGTTCTTTGTCAATTTTTCCTCCCCCCTCACCCCACCAACCTCATGACCACTTTTAGTAAGATTGCCAAACTAGCATCACATTATGCCAAATTGTGGCAAGTTGAACTCTGGACCACAAACAACTAGGTTGAGGATGCTCCAACTAATTTGTGGAGTCCTGCAGCTTAGTGGTTAGAGCACTCGCTTCGCAAGCACGAGGAACTGAGTTCGATTCCTAGGCAGGGCAAAACACCGGGCAAGTTTCCTTACTCCACATGCCTCTCTTTACCTAGCAGTAAATAGGAGCCTGGTTGTTAGTTGATTGGCGGATCACTTTTCCAGGGGTAATAATCCCTTCAAAAAAATTAATAATTTGGTCACTCAATCCACGACTGTATTTGGGACACTGATTGTTTCACCCACAAAATACATAGTCAATTCATTTTAGAGAATATTCTGTGAAGCGCTTTGAGACATCTCGAAGATGAGCTAAGGTGCTATATCAAATGCAAAGATTATTATTATTTTACATTCGTACCCTAATCGTCGTTTTCTGTGATATTCTGATTTTCTTCTCTTTGACTTTCAGGTTGATTTGCTCTTTTCTAACCACCCGAGACCACAGATGTTAATACAAGTTTATCTAAGAACCAAGTTCCTCCACAAATTTTCCTGTTGATGAAGAATGTGAGAATAAATCCTTCAGGGAGTTAGGTCTGAAACTATCAACAATTTTCCAAATCAAAAGTCAATGATTCAATTAAATTGTACAATAAAGCATAAAATCAATCTTTAGTCTCAGGCAAGATCTGAATTTAAAACCTGGTCATGCTGTCTTGCTAACAAGGACGTAACAGATGAGCTTAATATGTGTGATAAACTATTTATTGCATTTCATAATGCCATTATCTGTCATTAGTACCGATTACACACATCTAGAACTATAATACACATTTTATTGTCTGTTTAAACAGACACATTGAATGATCGAATGCTATAATACAAGAAAAAATGTTTTTCACACCTTGTAATTCTATGGCAGTGCCAGTGACAACATAGATCAGGACCTTTGAAAGGTGCTGATTATTATTATTTTTACATTACATTACAACCATCACTGCTGTTCACTTTGTTACCCAATGCAGGTGCAATTCTTTACTCATCCACTAGTCAGGGTTTTATTAAGTTTTATATAAATTATATATTTTAGGAGCTCGAAAATGAAGACACATGTTTACAAACAGAATTGAACAGCCATAGACGCAGATGGGTTGATGCTGATATTCATTCAGTCCCTGTCTAATGAAAACAGTCAGTGGTAATTCTAACAAATACCAGTAGTGTGCATGAAATTTTAATTTCTTTTCAGTCAGTACAACTTTACAATGAATTTAACTACAGTATGTAAAAGCCTATGAAACAGTATACTCACAAGGTTTTATAGCACTGATGTCTCTTATGGACAAAAACTATGTACAATAAAACCTGATTACTCCCCGTTAGTGGTAGTCTAATTTCCTTTTAAGTCCTACGTTTGGTCCTTTACTTTATTCAGCAGTGAAAGCCTTGAATACAGAACAAATAACAGCTGTTACAAATTTCAGCCATGACTTTTAACTTTTGCGAATTCAAGGCATGAACACAGTACACAGTAATGGAAAGTATCAAAATTAGTTTACCTCAAAAAAGATAAATAAACAAATAGGCATAATCCACCAATACATAAATTGATGTTTGTGCTACAGCTAAAAGATACTGTATATAAAGGACCATAGTCCCCATCAGTATATGATAGAAGCAAGGATAAATGAGCTTTAATTTGCCACACATTATGCCATATAAGTATGCACAGAAATTCAAGCAATAAATACATACATTAGTTTAAAGCCTTACAATAGCTATGCAAAGCAGATGCAGGAAAGCAGATTTGCTAATAATAGCAAGCAATGGTATAAAATAGAGTAAAAAATACATGAAATGCATTAAAGCAAAGCTTTCTTAGAAAAAAGTCTGGTCATTTATGGGTCCACCAACATTTTTTACATAATATGCACAATTATCAAAATACAGACAGAGCATATCAGAAAACCCCAATAAACCTAAAACCTATTGTAAGCATTTGCAGAGTTTTGGAGGTTCTTCTGGTAAAATGTGCAAGCAGCTATTTTTAATCGTACTCGTACAAAATCCATGCAAAATTCTACAGGTATATGCAATCTGTGGCTAAGACTTTTTCCCATAAGGTATGTGACTGAGGTATGCATACTACCAGCACTGTACGCTTGAATCTCCTTCCAGATGGTAGAATTCAGCACACCATTCTTACTTTCAGTCCAATTGAGTAGTATTACACATGCACTTCGATGATATTATCTCGCTTTCAATTAATCCAAACATTAGTGTCCTACAAATGCTTGAAGACAACCTATTATAAATCTTTCTCCCCCATATTGGTAACGTAAACCTTCCATTGACCATGACCTATAGACAAGCATAGTGAGAGTAACAGTTAACTGCAACACCCTCGCAACTAATACAATCTGCCACAATTGTTCTGGTGTGTTATGCAGAGGTAGAAGCTTTCAGAAAACCTTTAGGGTGAGTGGGAGAACCCTACTGAAAGCGGTTGTGTCCTTTTATTTGGTGTGATAGATGACTGTGTATGTCTTAAGTCTACTTGCTGACTCCAGCAAAGAATAAATGATGAGCTTGGCTTCGCAGGAACCAGCTCCTTCACGTGGAACTGGCAAGTATGTTAAACTCTAGCAGCCACGTCCTGTCAAAAACTGTTTGTAAAGCAATAACCATAATCAGGTTATGAGGTCCCTTGGTTGGGGGAAATGTAAGGTATTTCACAGACTTGGCACACAAAGTGAAATGCAACATGTTGAGTTAATAAATATCAGTGTTTAGCAATTTCTTTGTCAGTCTTTCTTTAAAAACCACATCACAATGCATCATGAAAGCATTTTAGGAAAACTTTATGCATTGTTAGGTATAGCAGATATTTTAAGCCTTAACATCACATATACGCAGAGGCAGAAATTTGTGTAACTTTGGTTTGATTGAAATGGAAATGTCTGGTACAATGACTATTAAACACTATGATTCTCAATGAGTATAAAAATTGCTTTAGTTTTTAAACTTAGCCAGATCATTGGAACTCAAAAGTGAAAATAATTTTTGGCTTCACTAGTTTTTCAATGTTTGGTTACTACAGGTTTTTTTTTTAAGTGAGATCTGAAAACTGTTCTTTGACAAACAAAACATGAATAAAGACAAAAACATGCAAGACAGAAGCGTTACGAACATTACAAAGCCACCAGTAAAAACTGTTGTCTGTACGGGGAAAAATGCAAATGAAGTCTTACTGAATCGATCAGCTTTATAATCTCATCCGCATTACTAGTTTCTAAATGTATATTTAAAGTGTGAAATGAAAACATTTATATAAATTCTGAAGTTGCATCAAGTACACATACTTTGTTTTGGTCAGTGGTATCAGAGATTTAGCTGCTTCCTACTATAACTTCTCATCATCACTGTTATGTGTAGTAGTTGCTACTGAAACTTTTTTTTGGACTCAGCAGATTACACATCTGACTTCATTCCGTCATCTTGAATACTTTCCTTAGGGTTATAAATAAAAGAGTCCCAGAGGTCATCGGAAAACAGCAGGTAGTTCATGTAAATGTTTCTTTGTACTAATTAAAGTCACAGAAGGAGGGCCACCAAAGTGGCTGCTTCTGCCATTGAGCTATTGGCCATTGTCAGAGTTGACTTTGGTTTTAGCTGTTGCCTTTGAATATGTTTCCAGGTAGACAAAGCTTAAATACGAGGAGGTAAAGAGAACTGTTGTAGAGTATGCAGAAAAGCATAATTTCCATACGGTGCTTGCACAGACGTAGAACTTCTTTTTTTTAGCATTAGATTGCACTTTACATTTTAACACTAACAGCACAGACTGGAAGCCTAAGGTGTTCTGTACAATTGCCTCAGAAATCCACAACAGTCTAATTACTGTGGTTTTGTAATAACTAACTACGAACATAATAGTTGGTGGCACCAACACAAAATCTACTGGTCTGTCCCCAAAAGTCAACTAGTTACAGGCAGTGACACTACTTTCTGACACTAATTCTGTGCAAATTAAAAATCAGCAACGACTTGAACTGGATCAGCAAATGATCTAATCTTAACTACAGTCTAGTAAAAATTCACATTGAATGAAGCTAACACTATTTTTGGCAGTATAAGAGGCCATTGACTGACTTTCTATATAGCAGACATCCCGATATTCGGTCAATCCGTCAACCAGAAAGAGCTAGGTAACAATTTTGTATGGACAAGCCATCATAGAGAGGAAATTTTTTTTATATCAGAAAACCTATTTTTCATAATCCAATTTTCTACACGTTGGAAAAACAGCAAGCAATTTTTCAATGCTTGTTATCACTTGATACTCAGTGGCAATCACAGATAGTTCCATTAGGTTGTTTCCTTGACTCACGCTCAAATAAATAGTCACAGTAAAAGTCTGCCATATATCCAATGCCGTGGAGTGGTTATGGAGGTCTGTGATATAACCCTGCAATTGAAATGTCTGAAGTTCCTTCTTATTCTACGTCTTCAGATGAAGGTTCCTCTTCAATATCTCTATCCTCTTCTATTTCTGGACTGTGATTGGCTGTCGTTACCAAGGACATGGGGCACTCATCTTCTTCTGCATTCATTGGTTCCTCCTTGACATGAATGGGATGTCTGTGTAAAGACCAACATAAACACATGGTTATTGATGAGCCTTGGTATCTCATGGTACTACCCTCTAATCAGCTCAAAACATCTTGCTCTATTTATAAGTTCATACATTTGTTTCTGTAGAAATCAGTTTTTAATATTTAGTCATTGCACTCAGCAGATAATTATTTTGTGAAAAGGCTAGATCATCAATTAAAAAATTGCAAGTGGCAAATGCCTTAGAAGGTAAGATTTTATCCCCTGAAGTTTACCATTTTTCTCCCAAAAATAAATCAGAAAGGTCATAGTGATCTGAAAAAGCTATAAAAGTTCACTTATGGCACATGGTGAAAAATGCCATATCATAAATAATCTAGAATTTTTCATACTCTATCCCTCCAGCAAGAGAAGACCTGCTTTTTTATCTTGTTAATAGAAACTGCAGTCTCTCATTAATATGCAGGGCTGGTGTGCCGCTTCTCAAGAGGAATACCTGCAGCAAGGCTTCGCCATTAATCAACTTCAGCCCAGCAGTTCAGCAAGACATGATGATACATGTTTTTAACTCTAAATTAATGAATATCTTTACTAACTGTCAATAAACGAAGGAAAAACACTGGTGAGGAACACAAGTTGAGGTGGGAAATTTCCAAACATAACAGAATGACGAGGAAGTGGGTGACTAACAAGAATAATAATGCTGTCACCCACAAACAAGGCTTAACATGATCCAGGCCCTACTCAAGGAAAGGGTTGTGCTGCAATGATAAATCTGCCAAAACCTAATTATTTTTGACACATTAGATGCATCAGGGACTCTCAGAGAAAAAAAATTTCCTTATCAAGTACTTTTGCATTAGAAAGTGACTGAACCTGCCAGGCATCTCTTGGGCTACATTCTTGGATGAAAGGAGTAACTTTGAATTTTAAAAGGTACAGATCACTTTAATATTCACAGCAAAATAACTTATTATTCAAACCTTATTGGTAAGCCTTGCAGTTTTGTTATTTATTATTTAACCTCAATATAATTTATGCAATTCTTAAATGCAGTCGTCACAAACAGAACAAAGTCGTGCAAGGAAAAAAAACGTGCGGCAGAATTAGAAATTGCTGAGAGATTTTTTGCCTGGAAAGTCACTTCTTCTACATACCGGTTACGTTAACAAATATTTTATCCTATTTAAAATACTATAAAATATAAAATATTAAATATCTCCAGGAATTTTCTTAAAACACTGGCCCGGCAATCCGCAAAATAAAACATTTTTGCTACAGGGCAAAATGTGAAGCTGACATCTGCATCTGTCTAGTCTAAAACTTTTTTTTAAAAAAGGGTGATAGAATGGTTATTAAAGCAACAAATATTACATCAAAATATGTGCTGCACACGACACGTAAAATATAAACTTGCAAAAAGATAACTCATCAAGAGGCTAACCCTATCACACGTTTTAATTATGACAAACAAGTGCGTGAAAAATGGAACTAATATAGTCCTACACAAAAAGCATTTTTATGCAAGCACCAATAATGAACTACAGCCTGACCTGATTTAATAAGAAGCAATCTATTTCATTAAGAATTAATAGCAATAAATAGGAGTTTCGTAAATATTTAAAAACTAAAATGAACCATTTGTTTTAGAAGTAGGCCTCACTCAGCGTGACAGATAAGACCCCAGGAGTTCAAATGGCAAAGAAAGCCTCCTTAAAACACTGTCATTCTTATTATCACGAGAGAGAGAGGAGAGAGAAAGAGAGAGGAAAAAAACAAACCTCCAAATAAGCGGTCAAAAAAAAATTTAAAGAGATAAATGAGTCATGCCTAAACTGGGTTACTGTGGTCATCAAGCCCAGCAAAACCTTTCAATAAAATGAAAAGCGCAGTTCATAGCTTTAATTTACATTAATTACATATCAGTAACATGCTTGCTAGGATTGTAAAAAAAAGAGAAATTATGAGAGCTCAGAGTCACTTTACACAGTATTAAGTACTGAAATGATTCATGTAGTATTTAATATGTGGCATGCCTTATGAAGCCACAAATATATGCCTGCTCCTAAACCTTTGCAAATCGGAGTTGCATTCCAGGCTGTGTCACTTGAGCATTATTACAGGATTATCACCGGCAATCATGCAAAGATATTCTGGGGATGCAAATAACACCATTAACTGTGTATCTTAATGAAATAAGGTGATTTGTCATTCTTAATGATGATATGAACCATAATAGCAACATTGTGAGGGAATTCTTTTTTTAAATTGCTCAAGGTATTACTTGTAACTGGCCAGAGTGGCTTGCAACAAAGCTGAGCGAAGATAGTGTTGAATCGTTTTAAGAAATCCTGCGAATGTCGCAGTTGAAGATGAACTGAAAGAAAACATTTTCAACTCTGTGGCCACAATAAATCTTTCAGTATCGTTTACAATAGGCCATTTGGCAATAGATGTACCAAAGGCCACCCAACGATATACTGATTTGCAAAACTGCCCAAGACTGTCTAATACAATGTCACAAGGTCTCTACAGTTTGGGAAATAGAAATGTGCAATTGTTTCTTCCCACCCCATACAGAAACATTAATTAGGTAATGTGTTAAGACATTTCCTAACATTATTTAATCTAAGATTAAAATCTTAAAGGGAGGAGAACCTGGTAGTTGATGGGTGTATTAGTGCTTGTGTTGCTCAATTTCCAAACACAAGGTTTCCAGCTTGTGTCCCAGGGCTGTCTATCACTCAGACATGTTAGCTTTAGGTAGTCATGTTTTACACAGTCCAAGGCTAGGTTGCTGGATGAAGTATGAGCGACAGTATGTGGGAACTAGGACCTCAGGAGAGGGGAATCCCTGACAGAATCTGTCTACCTGGCCTACTTGGAACAAGCCTTCTGCTGGATTATTGTAAGGCAACATTGACACTGAGACGGAAAAGCAGGAAGCCCAGGTCTCACACGCTTCCGACCACACAATATGTAAGTGGTGTAATGTACAAGAAAATGAGACGACATGCCACCTTCACACAAACTCGTAAGACACACGGGAAATTTCATGCATCAAAATGAAAGACAATTAATATTACGATACTAACGTTCTTGCCAATGCAATAAAGGCATTATGTTTGGATGGGGTGGTGGGGGAAGGGAAACTCATGTGTCTAAGCCAAAAATAGTTTACCCTGAGCGGATGATAAAATAAATTTGACCATTGAAACACCTTTTAAAATCAAAATGACACAGAATTAAGGATCAAATTTAAAATTGTTTGGAATTCGTTCCTATTTATTGATTTATTGATTGCACATCTATGTTGTTTCAGCAGGGAGAATTTATGGGATCATCAAGGGAACTGTATCGGAGAAGTTACTGACCATCCCACCCATCAAGGTTTGGATGGAGGCAGAAGATTTTCTGCCCTCAAGTAAAGAGATTATTCCTACTGTGATAAAAATAGCATTCATAATCAAAATGTTTTGGAAGATGGAAAAAAATGACAAATGAATGTTTGTTATTTTAGCAGGATTTTGCTGCTGCATTTAATGTTAACCAACATTAAGAGTGCTTCAAAGCTTAGATTTCCAACAAGCCTTAAAAAAAATGCTCTCACAGTTAAGGTTTGAAAAATTAACAAGTTCAGACAATCATATAAATTCCTTGGTTATTTACTGGTTCTATACTCATTGAAACAAATACTTCATGCAAATAGAAGCTGGAAATGTCATTATGAGGAACAGTTCATACAGCTTGCTCATGCATTTCGCCAAATAGACTTTTATACAACATCTAACCTGTTCTGTGGGGTGCCTAATAAGCGTTTCTATGTGAACAATGCCTTGGATTAAGCCTTTAAAATATGCAAAGATTGTTTTTCCAATTATACAAACCCCAATAATTTCCCATATATTAGTGCTCATCATGCAATGTATAAATTAATCAAATGCAATATAAATGTTAAAAAAATGCCATTTTAGATAGTATTTATACTGACAGGAACATAGAAAATTCTACACAAATGACATTATTCCTGAATCTAAAACATCGCAAAGCTTATCATACAACCTGTTCTGTGTGGAATCTACCTAGCATTTCTAAGTGTCAATGTCTTGGATTAAATTTCTTAAATATGCGTTTGACGAGTAGTCTCAATATTTGTTCCCTAAAATTATTTTTCATTTTGCATTCTTTTTTTTAACTAGGAGGCACCAAACCACCGTTAAGATCCTTGAATTTTTAATAACCTTTAATGTTGTTGGCTCGTGTTTAAAATTTGTGCTGTTAGAATTTGCTCATAATGCACATATTACATTAACCTCATATTTGGGATGAAAATATTATTCAATATTGATTTTTAGGTTTCTCCCTGTGGTGTGCGTGCTCCAACTGTTCACCAAGACTGAATGCACTTTCACTTGTAAAGTAGAGGGTTTAGAAAAGAGGATTTATGGGGAAATTATGGGCAATTGTCTATTTCACACAAGGATGTGCTTGGCAACTGTATCCTGAAACCCCCCCCATCCTCAGCATTTGACAAAGTGTATTTTATTGTTATTGTGTAACCTGGGTGGTAGTGGGGAATGGGGAGGGAGAAGAAGTAATATTTTGAAAGAAAAGTTTGGATTTTTGTATTTGAATTATTACACCATTAGTTTCATGTTCTATTGCCTCCTGGGTTCCCAAGTTCTCTTCCTCAACATTGTGCTTAAGTTTGCCCCTCCTTGTAGCCCACTCCACTATACCTCGGAATACTCCTCTCTCTCTCTCTCTCTCTCTCTCTCTCTCACTGATAAGGAAACTACACTACATGTCAACAAAATAGTTTTATCATGAGCATTATGCAGAGGATCAAATATAGAAAGATGGCAGATTATTTTTCTTAACTTAAATCTTTTTTGGGGTAATTAAGGACAATTATTCCAAAAAAAATTGTATCCACAGCATTACACAAAACTGCTGGAGGAATGATATCCAAGGAAAATGGGAAATCTATATCAACCCCAAACCAAAGTCTACATGACACATACCTCTGCAATTACCGCCCCCCCACTGAGTATTACTCTGTATTTAAAGGTGGGTTTTTGATTTCAGCTCAGGACACTGACTTCCATTGCTTTATCCACCAATTTAACCTGTACTATGATGCAAAGTTCCACAAATCAGCACATCATTATATTAAATTCCACATCTCATATGAAATATTTCTCCTTTGTCAGTGATGAGTAGCTGGGACAGATACTGGAGAGCTACTGAAAAAATATAATGATGGAGCTTAATCAACAGTCTTTGAAACCTCCTCCAGATGCATTATTCACCCATCTAACCGGTATAACAATACAGTGTAAGCCGCTTATAGCAGACTGATCGGTGCATACCTGATTTGTCCGGTATGTCCGATGTCCGTTGTAACCGGCCGGAAGTATCGGGTCGGGTCGGGGAAAGCATATTCAAATAATCTGTACCCTCGGCTGAAAGAAGATAATCAGCAAGCCTTTTATGGAACTTCTTGAAATTCAGATTTAATCTGCCCTATCTCCTGCTCAAAATGCAGCAAGGAACCTCTGTCGGTAAGTGCAGTTAAGATTGAATCCATTTTCAAAGGCTAACCCTCCTTAAGGTGCTCCAACTCATATCCCAGATTCGTTTTGCTTTTCATCTCACGGCGCTAAGCACTGCGTTTCCTATTTTCTACTAAATTTTTTTGCGTGAAAAGATTGGAGAGTCACAGCGGGGGCTATTCGCAAGTCGTGGCAGACGTGCTCGGCTCACGGTTTGTCTGTTCCTTGTTCAGATAAGCCGATGAATCATGTGCACGCTTTAACATAGTTTGGTTTGAGCAGACGCGGTTTACCCGAATGTCCGGACAAAACGTGTCCACTGTGAATGGGGTATACACTTCACCTAAGAGCAATTGCGGAACACTGAAATAAACGTTTGTGACAATTGTTTCTAAACAGCGTAAGCCAGAAAGGAATCTTAGCTTTTTAAAAGTGTTAGTTGCTGCATTTATGCTAACTGTAAAATCTCTTCAATCCACGACTGTTTGTGGGACACTGCTATGCGCAATTGGCTGCCGCGTTTCGCCCACAAAATATACAGTCAGTTCACTTTACAGTATATTCTGTGAAGCATTTTGAAACGTCTAGAAGACTCAAAAAGTGCTATATCAAATGCAAGGGTTATTATTATTGTTATTATTTGGGTTTTAATGTATATCGATCTCTAATGGATTTCCTTAACAAGGAATCTATGTGAGGATCCCTCTGACAAATATACATCAATCACAGTAAAGTGGGGAGCAACGGTCCAAAAATAGATTGTGCCGGAGCAGAGCTCTTGTGAATAGGAGGAACATAGCCTTACAAAGCAACTTGTCAGACATCGATACTAGGATGATCCTTTGTCTTTATTCCAAAGCATCAAGGGTTAGTTTTTCTGGATTTCCACTTCCTACTTTTACTTTCAATTATTATGCAATCTTTCCTTTCCTTACTGTACATTTATCTATGAATCTTACTATACACCTTCATCCTGGATTACTGGACTGAAAACGTGCTTCATAAAACTAGTATGTATTACTGTATCACAACACCCACAAAGGTTGCTCTTTGAATATGATCATCAAATGCCAATTTTTTTTCTTTATTCAAGTTTTTTTTTAAATGTTTCTACCTTCGCTAACGGGTACCACTCAGAATCAAAAGGAAGCAGATAACTTAGCAATTTGACCCCAGGTCACTATCAATGCCACTCATAAGCTGGACTCAATCTTTCCGCTCTAACCCACTGCAGAAGAACTTAGCCCAGAAGTACCAACTCCAGTTGAGGTTGGACGTTGCTATGCGGAAACGTGGGAAGCAACCCACATCTTAAAATATTCTGCCACTCTACCTCGCAGTCCCTCTGCGCCCCCCTTCCCCCCCCACTCCACCTCCTTCAAGACCCTCCTCTTCGACAGTGCTTTCGATCACCCTGCTTCCCCCCTGCTCTCCACCCTTCCGAATCCTGACCCCCAGCTCGGGTCTGAAACACTGACTGCCCAGCGCCTTGGGACGTCCTCCCAACGTGAAGGCCGCTATACAAATGTAATTTTGTGGTGGTTGTTGTAAAACTATGTCACACAACGTGCTGAAGGCTTGACCTGCACATCCGTATTCAAAACGGATAATTGGCATTTATGTTGAGAGCACACTACAATTTGTCACTACAATTGCAAAGCTGTGTGATTTGCAATTCTGCTACATCATAACCTACTTAAACCTTACACTGCCAAAAGCTTTGTAGCATTCAGAGGACACTGGACTGGCTATTTGGTCGAAGTTATTAGTTTACAACTGTAACTTACGCTGATGCAAATCCTTATATTACAGGTATGTCAGCAATAGCTTTGTTACAAAAAATATATTAAGCTTACACGACTACAAGATGCATAACCCACACTATACAAAAATCTGAATACTGCACTCTTCAGTCAATCAACCCTGTGGACATGAAAGACTGAGTAATCTGCGCAATAGCCAGTGCCCATAAAACTATTAGCAGCCGGTTTCCGGCAGTGTATCACTTGACATCAAGGGGATCATTCACCTATTTGTGAAAATCAACAACAAATTTACATTTGTGTATACTTGCACCCTTCACGTTGGAAGCGTGTCCAAGGTGTTGGACAGTCCAGAGTTTGCACCCGAGCTGGGGGTGGGAGCCAGTGGATGGGGGCAAGGGGTGGGATGGGAGAAGATGACCAAAGGGCGAGGTGGAGGGACTCAGGCATGTAGTTCCAGAGAGTGGGGGCAAACAGGCCAAAAGCCTAACTGCCATTGATGTGGCAGATAGGGCGGCGGAAGTAAGCAGACTAGTGCCCGCTGAGTGGAGGGTTTGAGAAAGCAGAGGCAGGGTAGGGGGAGACCATGGAGGGGAGTAAGAGTATCAAAATAAAAATGTGGTTGCCTGTGGATTTCTTACCTCAATGATATGTTACTTATCTATTGAGATCAAGTAGGTATTTTAGGTATTAGTTAGTGTGTACTTTTAAAATCAGAGGATGCTAAACCGACATGGCTTATGTTTGTGGTCAAAGAATTATATTTAGAAAGGTGCATTTATTCTATGAGGCAGTCTGCTCTGTATAAACCCGCAGTGATTTTAAAGCCAAACTTCTTTTTCCCGTTCTTTCATTTGCAGGAAAACCCTGTTCTGTTTATTACCAATATTATTATTGTGCACTCCTGGGAATATACTGCAGGGGAATGCACACTTTCAGAGTTATAGCTACTGTTCTCACCTTTCAATTCTACTGCGTTAATTATCAATCCAACCAGGTTCTTTGGAAATTTGAGGGACTGGAACTCAACTCCGTACTGTAGGACATGGGTACATAGAGTCCCAGGATTTCACAGACACACAGACATTAACATCACACTAACACAAACCACATGCATTAGATCTATAACCACCCCCCACCACCACCACACACACACACAAACACACACACACACACGTTCCAAAATACAACTGGTGCTGTTTGGGAGAACTGGGATGAGAAAAACTCTTCCTGAAGAAAAAATTTGCTTTACCTCCTGGTATTTTATCATACATGGCATGGGGTCAGGGCATTGACCGTACTTTCGGCCAAGAAATGATGCAAGGATAAAATGTCCATAAAATTTACCACTGTGGCAATCTGGTCACATTATGCTTTTAAATCCTTGTGAAGGATTAATTTATCAAAAAATCAGTGTTTCTACACATTGTATTTTGTAAAAAAAAATATATATTATACTTATTGCTCTTGGAACATATAACCTGAATCAACCAAAAATAATTGTATGAACACATTACACACTTAGCCAGGGGTACATATTCTCTTCAACCGTGCCTTCAGCTCCCCTCTCGACTCTCTACCCCTTCCTCGCTTCCTCCCTTCCCTCCCTTTACCCTGACCATTTGCCCCCTGCTCAGGTCCCGACCCAACTGTCCAGCGCCTTGGGACGTCCTCCCGACGTGAAAGGCGCTCTATAAATGCAATCTTGTTGTTGTACATTGTACATTACAATGTACAAAAAGCTAAATTAACTTTTATCACTCCTGTAGCAGGGAGCCTACCATACAGTACATCGAGTTTAGTTCTTTAAATAAATGTTAAACCTGGGTTATGTGAAATGGTTAGTATTTCTGCAGCAATAAATACTTGGTATTTCAACTTCAACACTGCACCATAAAGGTTGCAATATTCTATAAAAAAGAGGGCCTTGTATTGCTACCGTGACCATTTAAAGGGAATCCTCTGAACAATCTCACCAACTGGAGTCAGTAAACAAAGAATGGCCACACATTTGACATCACTGATTAGGGCCAGGCTTTTCAAAGCTTTATGCATATTTCTGAAACCCACAGAACATAAATTTTTAATGATCTCACTCTCACTGCTCCATTAAAAGATGGTCTAGAAAAGATTTTAACATAATCAATCACATAGTTAGCTACAAAATATTAACTGGAACAGTAGCCTTTTGCATAAAACATACCATATAAAACCCTCCAACGCCGGGCTGCCGGTAATTAAAGTTGCATATGTAATCACTTCTGGTCATGCACTAGAATTTTTGACATAGACAACAAGATGTAAAACATTTTGCTGGCCTATATATAGATAGCGGGATGAAGCCAGCCTCCCCGTTTACGCTTTTAATGTTAAGCCACTAAAATACTTCTTTGTGCCTGCCAACAAGACTAGCACATAGGTGTCACCGATGCTTACATATGTTGCTGCGGAGAACATCCTGGGCTGGTATTCCCATTGCTGTCGAGGTGATCCAATGAACCGTTGAGGTCTTCATGGGTTGCCTGCAGTAAGCCACTGGAGGTGGTGTTTATCAGGCTTGGGTTACTAAGCAAAGGTAAACTGCTCTCCGCAAGTGCAGCCTGACAAAAATAAACATAAAATAATTGATGAACGTAATTGTTTCACATCCACATTTAGGGTGACAGATTTTACAAGCTTCATTAGAGCCGTGTCTTGTTTAAAAATTAAATAATGATAGATTACTGTATGAATATTGACAATATATTATAATCAAATACAATTCTTTTATTAAATATTGAAGGTGGCCCAAATTAAATCTTTTTAATATTTATTTGTAACCCTTTGTTACAAATATGTTGTGAATATGATAAATGACCAACCACCTCATTGACACAGTATCCTTGTAACTGCTTTCAATATTTCAACAGAGATCCCTTTGAAAAAGGTATAGTATTTAACACTTAGACTGTGGGCAAGTCGAGAGAAATCCTGTATTCCTGAGCTAAGCAAAACATTTCAGCTCAGGCAATGTAATTCTGAACAATATGTTAATTTTTATACATATTAAAGCTATTCAAATAATCAAGAGTTATTACTTGCAATAAACTTGCTACTACCTGTATTGACTCTGAACTACTAAAATAGTTTTACTTTTCACGAAAAAATAATCTTACTCTCTCTCTCAGACCGTCAACAATTTACTTTCCATCGCCATGGGACGTCCTCCCGATGTGAAAGGCACTCTATAAATGTAATTTTGTTGTTGTTGTTGTTCTTCATCTCTGTGTTCACCTTTAATTACCTTAGCCATCACATTTGTCCTTTCTGCTCAATTCCTAATTTTGTCTTGCCTTGGTTGCCAGAGACATTAGAAGTGGTAAATTGTCTGGTTTCCATCTATTTTTTAAGGGTGGCAGTAAGCTTATTTGAGAAATGGGAATTCAGCTGGCACAGGCCTGCTGCACATCCCCTGATCCTTCCGGACCACCATTAGGGGTCGTGTCTTCAGCGACTGTACTCCTAATAGCTGGAATTCCCCGTCTCAATCCCCCCTCTTTATCTATCTTTAAGTCCCATTTGATTTCTCCCTCCCTTCTTGCTAACCATGCCACCGTACAGCACTCTAAGACGTTATCCTATGTGAAGGGTGCTATATAAATGCAAGTTGCCGTTGTTGTTCACCCGTTGAAAACAGCTTTAAATGTCTGCTCACCAGTGAGCTCAGACTCTAAAGATTCAACCAGGTCAATTGGCACATTTTTTATGCATGAAAATCAGAAAGTAATCTGCTGATAAACACATCACTGATGAGTGTGTTCATTAATGCTATGACAAGAATAAGGTTAAGATGAGAAACTGAAAAAAAAACCCACTGCTGCTCTTTCATTTCTCCACAACGGTGGAATCATTCAAAGTGCTAGACATTTCATAGAATCACAGAAAATGTACAGCACGTTATTTGACTTATGTCTTTCAGACACTACTCATCCCAGTCACATTAACTTATACCATATATGTGTTGCCTCCATTGTCACCAAAAATGACTGGAAATTGATATTAAAAGTTATACAATATCACACAAGCTGCATTGCTGGTGTACTTGCCCTCCAACTTGTTTTATTTATGCTTTGGTGATCACTCCAGCCGTTCACCAACTAGACATTGCTATTATTGATATTAATCTTTTATTTACCAGAAGGCTGAAGGATTAGATTTTTTTTCTCCTTAAAATACAGGGACCCTGTCAGACGATTCGTAATGAGATCGCCACTGTGGCTTGTGTACTGTAATATGCTTGGGCAGAGCGATCCTCAAACACATACAGCGAGAAGATGTCATTTGAGAGCTCACATGAGCTATTTGCTCAACTCCACATGCGACTCACAAAGAAGTCTCAGGTTTCAGCACCTCCCAAAAAACTACATTCAAACCCTTTTTGTACACCAGTCTGTAAAACAGTACAGAATTCCATCCTGTTGCCTTGTTGCACTAAATCATTTATCCTCTTTGTTCTTCTTGGGTTTATAATCTCACGGCTCAAATCTTGTGACCCTTTTTGTTGTAGAATTCTGTATTGCCCCTCCATGCTTGTCACTGTGGGTCTTACACACCGTTCGGGGTTAGATTAAACCCTCCCTAATTAAACAGGGAGGTAAACCGTTAAGAAGGGGCATCACTGAACAATTTTGTTTTGCATGGAGTAACTCAGTGGGATGTATTTACATTGATTGTTTGTCAGATGGGTATTCATGTAAACATCTGACAAACTCATCTCATCAAATGGGTTTGTCAGATGTCAGGATCAGCAGCATCTATCCTCCTGAAGCAGCAGTTACAAACAACACGCTGTAGTTTACTGCGAGTATGTTTATTAAGAACCTTTCACTTTAGTTTGTCTCACGGGACATCTCCTCCGCAGGAACAGTCTCTGGTGGTTTTCTGATGCTTTTGAGAAACCAATTGGATCTAGTGAAACCTCGAAGCTCCATACCCCTTCCTTCCCCGTGAATCTTCTCAACCACATTTCAACCTTTCAGCTTTTGATCACTTATCACACCGCCTGTTTGGTAGATGTTATTACATGCTCAAAACTGCTGAAGTTACGAATAGTTTTGATCATTATATAGCAATACATAGCAAATATCTCCCAAGTCTACTAAAATGGCAACTAGCTCTTTGGCAAAATATCTTTATAATAGCTTTCTTAACATTTAAAAATAGAGGTCTGAATCAACTAAAAAGGGTGACTATTTTCTGACTGAATGCAGTTCAGCCCAAGAACTGAATGTGTGGAAGAGCAATGCCTGATATTTGCTTCATTGCTTGTATCCAGTAACTCCTTTATTCTGATGAAGTCTCCATAAATCCAGACAAAAAGACCAATAGGTCAAAGTCATACCTGGATACTTTCAAGCTAGTAAATCTTTGTCATGACATACTCATCTCAATACTTGCGTCCTTATTGTCAAGGAGGCCAGCCGGATTTGGTTCTGGTGAGTTCATTTTACTGATAGGCAGATTCTACCTCCCCTATACATTCACTTAATGCAGACTCTGGAACTAACCATTATCTAATTTCAAAGTGAATCACATGCTGCGATGTTTACTGTACAAATGTGCTAGTGAAAGTCACGTAAACCTGGATTACCTTTTCTATGAGCTGAATTTTGAAACAAATCTGATGAAATTCTGAAACATTCATACCTTTTATGTTAATGTGCAGGGTATGGGGTGGTTGGATGGGTGAGATGGGTGATGAGCAAGAAGTTACCTACAAAGCTGCCCCCACTCTCTGGAACTCTATCCCAAAGTCCATCTGACCTGTCCACGCCCTCACTTCTCTCAAGACCTACCTCTTTGACTGAGCTTTCGGTCATCTTTCCCCTTACTCCTCCCACCCCCCACTACAAACCATCAGGCATCTTGGAACGTCCTCCTTATGTGAAAGGCACGATATGAACGTAAATTTGTATTGTACTGGAAAGTTAACATTCCAGTAAGTAATTGAAATGGTCTTTTTTTCTGCAATCAACTCCCTTTGCTTCTAAACCTCTCCATGTTACCAGTTGGTTTACGTTTCAAAGTTCACACAAGTTAAGTTTCCTCGTTTTACCTTTTTTGGTCTGAAGGTATCAGGCTGAGTGGGAAAATGAAAAGGAAAAAATAAGGACAATACACGTTGAACTTGCAATCTAGGCTGACACTCGAGTGCAGTGCTGGAGGAGTACTGCACTATTGGAGCTGCTGTTCTTGGGATAAGACAGAAAAAACAGGCATCGCCTGTGTGTTCCGGTGGACGTTAAATATACTATGGCACTATTCAAAAAGCATATGGAGCTTCTCCCAGTGTCCTGGCCAAGAATCTACCAAATAAAATTTGCTGCTTGTGGGACATTACTATGCACAAATTGGCTGTCGTGTAAGCGTGTATGGTATCTAGACTTCACAGTATATCCTGTGAAGCCCTTTGACAATGCCTCCCAACGTGAAAGCCGCTATATCACATGCTAGGATTGTTATGCAATGTGATAGCATTTTAATTGCTTGTATTCTTAATCGAGGTTTGTCTATGTCTTCTGCTCTCCTTGTACATCCAGTTTAGCCATCAATAAAATGTTGACACACTTAATGCCTTCATTGACAACTAGTTTATAAACAGCCTAAGTCTCACACAATGGTGATCACATAATTTTTATCTTCTACCCAAAAGCTTTGGTGAGAAATGTATTGTGTAAACTTATATCCAAATACACTAGTGACTTGTTCAAATTACACATTGTATGAATAATCCTTGCATTTGATATACTACCTTTCGCATCGGGGTGAAGTATCAGAGCGCTTTACAGGATTTACTGGAAAGTGTAGTGATTGTGTGTTTTTGCAGGTGAACATATATTAAAAAAACTGCAGCAAATTACGAGGATATTATTAACCAGCCAGTTTCTGGTAAGCATATCATTGTAAATATATACAGTCTGATTTATTATCATCTCTACCGATTTTATGATTAAAAAAACATTGTCCCCAATCCACCCCCACTCACAAATTCTTTCAATCCACATCATCGTAGCCAGGACAACGATGTGAGACTGTGAAACCTGCAAATCTCTCTACTGAAGCCATCAGTATCACTCCTTGCTTGACCTTTCATGAGACAAACTTGAATGAAGGGAGATGAGACCTTTTCGCAGTTAGTCTTCTCTTCTTCCTCCAGAACAACACTAGCTACAGTGTAAATGACAGGCACAAACTCAATTCTCCGAGTTGAAGGAACAATGTACTCTCAGTATAAATAGGTACTGAGCCACACACAAGTGTCTTTTTTTTTACTTAGAAAAGATAAGATAGCCCGAAGTCAGTGAATGCATTTCTAATTGTAAATTACTGGTATCAGCAACGTGACTGGCGATGTGACTGAGATGCGCAGTTTAAAATGTTAAGCTATTTTTCCTGTAAAGGTTGGTGTAATACTTGGGTTACCAAGCACCTATAATGAGAAAAGAAAAGTGAACCTTGGCAGCTGCTCTTTGAATACAAGGTTTGACTAGCAGCAGAAGCAAGTTCGAAATGCAAACCAATTTGTTTTCACTTCTGAGCTGGGCTTGTGCTGAATGGTTTAACCCCAATGGCAATTCCCTGCTGACTGTTCTTTAACTCCAAAGATCCTGATTCATGTTTTAACAAAGCAGCTCCTTGACTTTAAAGAATGACCAAAACTTTACCTCGAAATAAAAGTCATGACATTTTGCCTCCTGTGCATAAAAATTATATATTGTAATTAAACTTTAAATTTTTTTGCCATGAGCGCCTCATTCCCCAGCACTATGATGTGAAATCATTTATGACAGCTTAGATAAATATTAATGCATATCCACATGCATTTGCAGAGGCTGCCATCAATCTAGCATTTGATGCAAAGCTGGATATTCCAGAGTTTGCCACAGGGTGTCCCTCTTGCTTTTTAACCACATCAGAGACCAGTGGGGTTACAACAGAACCTGCGCTGCAAAATGAATGGCTTAATCCAATGTCAAAATTAAAGGTTGGAATGCACCAATTGTTAGTAGCATATGCATAATAATAATAATTTACTCTTCTGCAACAATACCAATAGTGAAATAAAAACTAGTAGGTGCACACTAAATGTTGTAGCAGAATAAGGATGGTGTTTTAATATTTACCTGCAAGCTTGCATTGAGAGCTGCTCCATACCCCAGGCTAGTAGGTATGTTTTTGACTAACGTCGGGCTTCTGAAAGTGAAAAGCAAAGAGATGTTGAATATTGGAAAGGCTGTTTGTTATGTTGCAGAATAACAGTGTAGCAGAATTGTCAGACAAAAGCATTGTTGAAATGGCAAATGTGACTGAAATGTCCCCTCCTCCTCTAAAAAAATTTTTTGCAACATGATTTACAAACCAACTCATTGACTTGCCATTTGTCTCGCTTACATTTTTGACCAAACAACATTCAATTTCTAATGCTGGCACAATTTTTTTTAGCCCCAGCACATATCAGATCTAAATGTAAAAATTAGAGGTCTTACTTGATAACCGCCCAATGTTCAAATTCTTTCAATTTGTTTGTTCCCCTCCTTAAATCTATTAGCTGAAGATGCTCTGAATGAACCTATCAGCGTGTTTTATTATCGATAATTAATTGAGCAAGTGCAGAATGAATGCACAAAAAAAACGAAGTACATCATCATCAAGATGAATGGGGCAGTTGCCTAACTAAGCGGTTTTGCAGCAAAGAAGTGTTTAGCTTCTCTTAATGCACCTGTGGCCTCTTTAAATTATTATACAAGGCTATTAATTATGCAGCCCAAGGAGAAAGAAATATGAACCATCCCAATCATCCTGATGGTGAATTAATTTGCAAAGCTAGTGCAATAAGCAAGCACGCGGTCTTACTGTAAGAAACGCTCATCAATACCCTCATCAGGAAGATATTTTCGAGGTCGGCCTCTTTACGAGTGCAGCAGACATTAAATGCTTCTTCATCAACAGTTCAAAAGGACCCAAACTCATCCTCTACTCTGACGAAAGTGCTTACGCAGTGACAAATTATTGCGATTGGGTCAGAAGCTATAGCCAAGCAAGAGCCAAAGCAGCAGAATGAGCAGAAAAAAGGGAAAGCATAAGTGTATAGTGGTTAAAAAGGAAGGGTGGGGGAAAATCAGCAACAGCAAATTACGACTTATAATTGCACACTGCAAGCAATGAAAGCACAGAACTTAAAAAAAATCGGCAGGTTCAGCAAGACCATAGAAGTAAAGCCTTACCTATCAAAGTGCATTAAATGTAGGCCCACTTCCACAGGAATCATCGCCAGACTGCACCCATCTACCTTTAAAGCTTACCCTCCAGCATTGTTGGCCCTTGTGGAAGGTTGCAGCTAGCATGGGATGTGTGGAATGATGTAACTGGGAGATAGCTAGCACAGTGAACAATGCTGAACACATACCCTGTTATCTTTTGTGACCTTCGCTTTTGGTATTCTATTTCGTCCACTGTCCACACTGCCCCTTTAACATTTTCTACTCGAACAAAACATTTGTGCAGACTAAGATTATGGCGTACTGCATTCTGAAGTAAAGCACAAAGAGAGAGAAGAGAATAAAAACAGAACGTTCAAGATTGTGTAACACACAAAAAGCAAGGAGCAATCGAAAGAAGATTTAATAAGAAACATATGAAGTTGCATTACTTCCTTTACTGTAACTCTTTACATTCCACAAATGCTTCAGTTTCTAACACTTTTTTGTTGATCAATTTTCTGGTTCGGAAAAAATTTCAGCATTTATTCTGTCAAGCAAAAAAAAAACTTCTTATGGCTTTAACTCTTTGTTCAAAGCCTTTTTTATAAAAAAATAGAATGGTAACATTGTTCAGAAATTGTACACTTTCGATGTTTTATATAAAAAAAAGCCATAAACACACAGATTAGTTCTCCTTTTGGGTTTGCTGTGAGCTATGTACTTTGAACAGCCATATGAATAGCAAAGCTGTACACCAATATCTGCCATTTGAACTGCCTGTGATAACAAAGCTCTCAAAGCTATTTTAATAATAGCTATGTCAGAACCTTCCTTTCCTGCTGCTGGTCTAAATTGCAATATCTGTACAAATTACAGTATCTTTGAAAATGCCAGCACAATTAGGTCAGGTCTGTTGTGTCCCTGATCAGCTCTTTAGGAGAGGGAGGGGGCAGTTAGAGATGATTGCGAGTCCAGTGGAATAACTTAGCAGCCAATCTTCCTCTGTAGTATGAAATGCAACCGAAACAACTTACAATGCCACTGTCACATATGTTACTGTCAAACAAAGCCTAATGCAAATAAGCTAAAAGCCACTCTTTTCAGTTCTATAATAATCAAATGACAGAGTTTTGTTTACTGTCTGTCAGGCGTGCTGACATTTTAAATGAATTCTATAAATTTCAATGCAAATCCAGTGGCTTCAAATAATATATGGTAATAAGGGGAAAAAAGAGTTTCCTCCTTTGGATTACTTATTGTTAATTACTGCTTTTCTGATAAAGTTGATATTTAAAAAATAACGTAGTCAAGCTGAGTTCTTGATTTAATGCTTCTAGATATGTTAACAAATTCACCGCAGTAATTTCTATACGGGTCACATCTAGCCCAAGATCATACAGGGCTCTATGCAGGCATAAGAAAACCGTGATCAATTGTAAACACATATTTTAATACTTCTATTAAATCTGATGGAATAACTAATGTGCAATTTTTCCACAAGATGAAGACAATTGCAAAGCAGTTGTCTTGGTCATGACTATTGTTCTAATTCTACAATTATTTCAGACTAACAAATATGATCAGCCTGTTGAGATTCTGTCTATATATTTCTGCCTTTTTCGTTTTTCTGTGTATTAGGTTTGCTTTGAGAAAGGGATCCTATAAAAAAGGCATAAGCAGATCTAGCATCTGACCTGAAAATCCATGGATTTGATTGATCTTAATGCCCATGGCTCTCAATATGATAATTTTAATATTAATGAGCAAATGAGCAGTTTTATTATGCATGCGGTATAGTTAGAACTAATAAGCTGTTCAGAATGAGTTTCACTGGATTCCCGAGCTGCAGTGATGAGACCAAGCTGAGATATTAAATCATCTTTCAGTCTGCATTCCCCCCAGTAAACCAAAGGACAAAACAATCACTAAGTGTTACTGTAATGAGTAATACCAAAGTGAAAATAAAAGGTATTGGAAGACAGTTTTTAAAAAAAAGTATATTTCAATCATTTTGCATTATGTTCCTTTAAAATTGTATCCTTTAAAGCACACCCTTTATACGTACAGTAATTCCACTCAGTTACAATCTCGTAAAATAACTAACAATTAGAAACAAAAATATACAACACCATTCGGAAACTGGAAGAGCTATTAGTCTTTTGCAGACGTCTTGGTCTCTGATGGTCTTTCAGAATAATCTGCATTCCAAATCCAAATTAATTCACTTCAGTAAATCTGGTACTCGAAAATGTTTAATATGCTGATGAGCACAGCACAAAAATGCTTGTAATGTAGATCTGGCTTCGACACCTCTATTCTTCACCACTACAAACATTTTCACTGATTGTGCCAAATGACTTGTGGCTAATTGATGCTTCATTCAGGTTTAAAACGAAAATATTAAAAAAAAGTGTATTCTGGATGCGTTCACTGTCTTTATCTGCTGAGCTGCCTCTTTTCTTAAAAAAAGGAAAGAGAAACATACTCTGAGCACCCAATTTTCTCTCTTGTAAGTGTAAGATAATGGATTTGTTTAGACAAGGATATGAATGAATTCTTTGTCTCAGTAAATAAACTGTGTTTCTGTTCTGACAGGATAATATTCACTTACTTTCCTTTAGTTCCAGCTGAGTGACCACAGCCCTGACTCCTGTGGCAGCTTCAGTCTGTGTGATGAGGTATGATGTGTACAAAAGGCACACACCAAGACAAAACCTACAGCTTCCATTTGTTGCACAAGGCAAACAGCCATTTTTCAAACTAATTAGCCAATAATATGTGAAAGTAAAAAGTAATGCGGTGCTACCAACAAAGGTGTGGATGATTGAGTGCTCACACTGTAATTAGAGTGTCAGGGCCTCACATCTCCACCAAGGAGAAGCTATTAATTGCACCAAATTAGAAAACGATATCAGAGGCAAAATTATTCTTTTCACTTGTCATTTCGAGAAAGGGAATTCATTCCATTCAAGAGCCCAAGTTTTTTTGGGGGGAAGAGAAAAAAAGACTGGAGTCTGATACTAATCTGCTCATGTCAAGTAAATAAATGTCCTCAGCCCTATCTGCAGGTATTGTGCCAGGCATCTTTTAAGTGCAGGTCAAGGAGTTACCTTCCAAGTTGCAGCGTTACGTCTGAAATAGGCAAATGTCCGTGTAAACCAGTTGTAGATTTCATTAAGTGTTAACTGCCTGTCACTTGATTCAATGATAGCCTGAAATAAAACGGGAAGAAGTGGCATTGAATGGCTGTTTACTGACAGGGTAGCGCGTTCTCTAGAAATATTAATTGAAGCAGTTAATTCATTCCAATCTAATAAGGCAAAGTTAATTTATTTTCCACTCACCTGCCTTATGAGAGTTGCATAAGTAAATGGAGGTCTAACATCTGCATTCTTATAAAACTCATAGTTTGGGGCAATTTCTAAAAAAAATGAAGAACATATCAACGGTCGACTCGCTAATGTTGTAACGCAATTTACAATTCAAAGTAGGAGTAAACGGTTTATTTTTCATGTGGCTGATTAAACAAACGAGGTGTACTGAAATGCGCTTTGCATAAAATGTACACAAATAGATCCACTTTCCCTCCCTCCCACAAGGTTTTTTGAGTAAAGCGCCCTCTTCCAATAGAGAACTCCAAACATGGCTGTCTGAAACACTTTTCTGCCATGAGCTGGCAGGTGGTGGGATTCACATGAGGTGAGACGTCAAAATTGTCTCCTCCCCAAGAACAAATGCCTTGCACTCCATTCTGTAAGCTCGGCTGAGAACTAACGTAACTTAGCCAATTGAGGCAGAAGGGCTCAAGTGTTAAACAGCTTTGGGACTTGAACTCTCAATCTCGTGGTTGGCAATCAAGCGCTCAGCCACTTGAACTATGGGACTGCAAAGTTTACACCATCCTTTTAAATAAATGCAAAGATTGTTGGCAAATAAATTTTACACAGGGTAATTTTCTAATATTTGGATATTTCACTGATAAAAGTTCCAAGACAATCATTTCTTTAGATGTTGTAGTCTGAATTTTGATAAGTGTAAGCAATTAGGTTTAACTGAGTGTTTGCTTATTTGAAGGTTTGCTGATCCATAATTGCATTGAACACAATGGTTTGCTAATGTAATCTTTTTTTAATGTGGTCATATAACAGTAGCATGCATTCCTTTACTCCTTTAATCAGTATTTCTGGCTTTAGGAATGTAAAAATGTTTTGGGGAAAAAAAACTGATACAAGTTTTGTTTGAACAGCTATTAAGTGTTTTAAAATTATTCCAATGATCACAAAGTCTTCCCCTATGTCCACAATGGTTTTTTTCAAATGCATTTGTTCAAAAGTACAGTAACTTGTTCTGTGGGGAATGACCATGTGTATAATATGAAAAAGGGAGTTTTAAATCAGTCTACTTTGATCAACAAGGGGGGTATTATAATCCTTCTGTAATCTTCACCGAACTATTACAAATTTAACCTGACTCCAAAGAACATCAATTTATTACATTTATTTGCCAGACAAAATGTCAGTGCCTTAAAGAATCTATTGAGGAACCTACCTGATGAAATGGGAATGTTGTACTTATCACTGTGTCTTCTTCGTATTGGTCCCACACTGTGCAAGCTGGCTGGGGTGATTACAGAGGGTCCTTGCGTGACTGGGGTAACTGGGGTTGTGGGTGTGGTGGGAGTCTGAGGTAAGCTCTGTGGGGAAGTCTCTGAAATGTTCTTCGACATTGTGACACTCGACACCAGATTCAGCTGAGGAGGCCCAAGAGGAGGAGGAGGAGCAGAGAAAGACAAGAGACAGGAGAAAGAAGGCTTTAAAAGGTTTGACAAATGAGAGTGGATTCACTTCTACAGCTGTGTTGCCACTAATAAGCAGCAAAGGAAGCAGCCAATCTCAACTAATTACAGGATGAAATTGTATCATAAGAACTCTAATTAGAGGATGCTGTTAGAGATTATCTAATGATCTGATACAACATTACTCAGGCCCAACTCATTTTAGCCTATTCTGACTCCACACACAAAAAATGTCTCTCGCTGGAAACGTGGTTACCAAGAATTCTACAGCCGTAATCGGTATCTTCTTGAAAGCCGAAAAAAGAAGTCAGGTTATCAAAGGGATCGAGTTCCTGCAAACATGGGTTGCGATGTGCTGCTGCTATTCCATCGCTGCTGCTGTTTTTTTTAAAACGCACACACATACACAGCCCCAAATCTCAGCTGAGAGGCTCTAGCCAGCTGGAAAATTTTACACTGACCTTTAGTCTCACTGCTAATTTGGTGGAATGGTAATGACATTACTACATATTCAAACAAAATTGTCTTAATTGCAAATTAGCCAGAGGAGGCTGAAAATTTTCAAATTAAATATGATTGTGGATTGGAGAGGGGAATGGAATTTCCTCACTAACAATCATTTGTGGCATGTGTTAACAAATATAATGAAATGTCAAGTTTGCCAATTCCTCTGGAAGTATCATTTTCAATTTATGATTACAGTGTCAGTTATTGCTGATGTACCCTGGATTGTCGGTGTCAGGGAAGGGAAGAAGAAAAAAGGAAAACAGGTCAGGTGAAAATGAACGCGAGCTACTTAACAGCGTGCCCTTCAACTATTCCTCCCAATAAAGCTCCGTTTTTCAGTACAAGAAATTCTGACATCAAACTCTGTCATATTTACCACACATCCAATGTCATAAATAGTATCCAATTAATGAAATTTACACCCATCTACTGGGTAAAAGATTTCTGCCAAATTCTTAAGTGATGCTCTTATTAGCTAATTTGTAGTCATTTTCAATCTATTCTGAAGGGTAATTTCTTGATCCAGGAAAACAGCAGTGTTAACTTGTAGCTGTACACATAAAACACGAGCGAGAGAGAAAAAAAAATTAGGAAATTGCAAATGACTAATTCAGACACATCTGTCTTTCTAAATGTTATGTATTCATCTATTTATAAACACCTTTTTTTCATTTAGAGAAGATTATGCAGTAACATTGATTGATCTTACTTTGTGGATTTGTTTTACACGTTTGGAGAGTACAGGAATTTGTCGAAGTAACAAAAATTAACATATGCAGCTAATTGTTCTGCATTCTTGGGCAGCAGCCAGGAGAAGCACATTGGCAGATAATAACAACGACTGGCACCCTGAAGGCATTCACAAATGCATCTGTTCCCAATAAACTACAAACTGTTTTTTTTCCCCCCACAATACCCGTGGCCTGCAGACTGAGGCGAAGAATCCAGTTATGCTTGTATGTAAATTTGGATGCAATTTAGCTTCCAACAATTCCAATCACATATCATAAATAATTGTCCAAATAAGAATGTTTTAAAAAATATCCGTTTTTCAAAAATAGCTCTCACTGAGCCCTCCTGCACAATGTTCCTGCAGCTACATATCCACGATATTCTTTGTTAAAATTTAATTGTTGTGCCATGTATTAACTCGGATGACAGAAAAATCATTTTGAGTTTAATAATACTTTTCACCTGCTGCTTTATGAAATGTGTTTGATACCGACAAGTCGCAGAATGAGTGATTTATTTTCAAAATGCAGGGAACAGACACAATATTATACACTAAAACAGTATTTGTCAAAAAAAACCAAAATCATTGGTGTTTACTGTGGGGCGATTTCTTTAACAGTATTCCCAAATAAATGACGTTGACTGTATGTCACACCAACTCACAGGAACTCCGCTCAGACCTAATCTACTTTCGGAGCGTGGGATCTGCAAGATAGCTCTGCACTTAAGTTACTGAAGGAGTCCCTACTCAGGTTCCTCACTAAGGAATCTGTTAAAAATCGCCACTTTATAGTCCTTAATTATCATTACATCTGCCATGTGTCTTATACTGTATTTGATTGCTATATTTACAGGTTACGATGATTTATTTTATCACCCAGTAATAACAAGCAGAACATGTTTGCAAGAACACAGTCGTGTTCTGATAAAATGGAATTTATTAAAGATAAATAAGGAAAAGCATGTAAAAGCTGGGATGAGCACTTAGCTACCTCAACTCATCTGAATATATTCAAGGTTGGGTGAAACTCATTATTCAGGACTTGCAGCCTTGATAACTTTGATTTTCATCCATCCATAGCATGGCCAAAAGGTACCATTTAATGAAGTACCATCCAGAGAGTAAATGGGGTCATATAATAGACAGTGCAGTTGCACCTTGTGTTCATGTACTGATAGCTGTTAAGGGTGCAGTGATGAACCAACAGAGCTCATTTCGCCTTGGTAATAAATTCATACTATTAATATTTATCAAATGTGTGGGCTGTCTCAACTGAGCCACTGCATATGAGGACATAAATCAGTACTATCATATCAATTATGGAGCTCCTTTTGTGCAGTATATAAATTTTAGAGATTTTTTTGTATGACGTTACTTGTTTTTTTCCCTCCCTTTTTAGCCATTTAAAGGCTAACAGTGTCATGTACCAAATTCGGGATAGCACAACATGTCCAGTGGGAAGATTTAAAAAAAACTGCACTTTCAATTCAACTTCCTCATCTAAGGATTCCCTATTAATTACCCATCATCAAATGCAATTAGCAGCTCTTTCATGTGTGGTTTATGTAATGTAATATTTCAGTTACATTATTCAAGTTCAGTTTTGGATTATAGGCTGAAGATCCTTTATTAGTGCAGAAGCTACTACACTGCTGGACTTTTACAAATTTACTGATTGAATAATTTATTTATAAAGAATGAGCTGCAGATTCCTGATGGATTTAATGGATAAGTATTCTATCTTTGGACTTTCTGCAGTATAGGATAAGAAACGAGGGGAAAAAAAACATTAATTCAAAGTGAGTGAGCAAAGCAGTGTTTTTAAACGAACACCTTTTGATTTTGTAATCTTTATTCGGTGAGCTGGGCACGCGTGAGATTCTCTTAATGTTATCTCTGTGTTATTTGATGAAAAGGTGGGACAAAACCTTACATTTCAAGGCAAAAAAAAAGGAACACAAGGTACACCGCAAAATAAATTTATAAAGGGAACTCCAAGCAGATAGTTCAACTGGTTGAGAGCTCAACTTTGAATCAGAATGCCACAGGTTCGAGTCCCCGGGCTGTCCGCCACTTTGAATACAGCTTCTTTAGCTGAGACTTTTTTCCAGTCATCCAGCTCGATCCGGCACTGCAGGATAGCGATTTCATTTCAGTCAGTGGAGAAAGTGACACTATCTGGCTCGCCCTGTGTAAATCGTGCACACTGGCTCATCAATCATAAAGCAACGCTGACAACGGCAGCGGAGGACGAGCAGGGCACAGACTGTCCCCTGTCCTGTACTGGAGGAGAGGCTTAGAATTGTAGAATCATAGACATTTACAGCACAGAAGGAGGCCATTTGGCCCATCGAGTGTGCACCGGCACTCAGAGCAAGCTGTACTTCTAATCTCACCTCCCAGCCTTATCCCCAAAACCCTCCAAGCCTCTGTCTTTCAAATACTGGTCTACTTTCCTCTTCAAACCCACAATGGACGATGCCTTGGCCACCTTACTTGGCAGGGCATTGCACATCCCAACAACTCACTGTGTGAAAAAAAATTCTCCTAAGGCAAGCCTGTGGCACCTTTCGGCAAAGGCAGAAATGTAGATAACACAATTGTAAGGACAGTTTTCCTTCCACTTATGGATGATTATTATCATTACTTGCACAATTTATCTTCCTGACCAGTCTCACGTTTGCATCTCAATGGAATGTGTTGAGTAAAGTATAATAATTTTTGCATTCGATATAGAGCCTTATCACGTCACTGAGACATCGCAAAGCACTTCGCAGGATCTTACTGTGAGGTGTAGTGACTGTGACTGTGTATTTTTTGCAGGCAAAATCATGTGGCAGCTAATTTGCACATAGCAATGTCCCACCAACAGCAATGAAGTGAACGTTCAATTTTATCTAAAATGACTTGTAAACTCATATCTCGTACCAACTTTCCAAAGGAATTTAAAATTGATGTTCAGCTTCTGAGAATAACAAATCATTTTTCCCTATGTTTGCCGAACAGGCATATTATTTACTGTACATTTCAACTGTAACACCTGAACAAAAAAAATAAAAGCTGACACCTGACAACTTTAGTGAAACATTGATTTTTAAACTCTTTACAAACCTGAGTTGATTAAAACCAAAATTGCACAAAAGGCATAATTGTTTAAATTTCATTGGTTCAGGTCATCATGTGTTTTTTGTACCATTTTCACAGACAGCAAATTCTAGTCCTTAGCCTGCAAGTGGCTCCATTCAGTATCTTGCTAGTAATGATACAGCTATATGGTGGTGCAATTGATGCCCAATAAAATTCTCCTCGCTGGCAGAGTGTATTTGTAACTCCATCAAAAATAAAATGTTCGAACATTTCGCCGGTGGTCTCAAGTCAGTTATTTGTCACAAGTGAAGTATATTACTTTGTTGGGTCTGAATGCTGAATGTCTATTTTATTTCAACAAAAAAAGCTATCTGGTAAAATTTTTCATAGCCACATTTACTGGTTCAGTATTGGAATAACTATACAGTATGGAAACTGTCATGACAATTGTTTATTTTTACAGTGTGTAATATTTCTTAAACACCCCCAGCTCCTCTCCGCTTGCATAGCGCGACAATATTAAACTCACAGGTTTCGGACATGGCTTGGGATCCGAGGGTCTCATGTGAAGGTGGGTCATCATTGCCTGAAGACGCTCACGTTCTTTAGAAAGCTGTTGTCAAAAAAAAGGACAGAAAATAAATCTCTTGAAAAACACAGACCAAATGACTGCGATGAATAGGTATTATTTTTTTAATTCATTACAGGATCGTGTCTGTTTCAGTCGAATGATTCTATTTGTAGCAGTTGAGGGTTTTATGGTCTTTTCTAAGAGGAAGAAAAGTCGCTTCTTAAGAAGTACTCATCTTTGTGGTAGTCTCCCTTGTGCTAAAAGGTCATAGAAAAACAAATAACACTTCATCTTTTTGTCAATAGGACTATTTAGGTCATACATGCTATGACAGTAACAAGTTACCAGGAACACAAATAAGTGGGCCCTTGGTGTCCTGGTAAAGTCCTGTGGACACTGTTAGGAGTGGACTAATGCCAGCAGCTGTGAAGAGGTGAAGGGTCCTCAAAGCGCTGTGCCTGCCAGGATCATCTACACGCTTCATCCTTTCCCTCTGAGGTCCAGTTACTGCCCCCTGCAATCTGCCATCATCAATCTAATTCAATAGAGTGACAGAGACCAGCCAGTGTGAAGCACTGATTTCAGTCACAGAGTGTGGATACACACTGCACTGGGTCTCATTACAATTGACGGACTTTACTTCCCGACTGGAGATTGCCTCTACAAACTAGACACAAGAAAAGCTATTAATTGGCCACTTTGAAAGTAGTACTTTCAGGTGAAGACACAGCTTCCTTCTATCCTAACACATGAATCAGCCAGTTTATTTTAAATTATAGTACAGCACTTCAAAAAATGACAGATTCCAAATAAGCCATTAGTGGGTACAGAATTAACTGCTTACAGAATTACACAAATTCATTTTCCTTTTAAGATTTGTGTTTTTTTTAATCAAACTGCGATGAAGTATTGTTTTATTGAAAAGAAATATCCTTGGGCAATACAGTATTATTTTTTAGCAAGGTTGCTGCTTCAATATACTATACAGTGGAGTGGAATTACACACTATACAAAGAGAAATTAAGGTGAGCGTCACCCTCTCAGAGAAGCTGAAAGATATTGCAGGGTATCAGTCTGAAACACCTACACACCCTTGAAATAGTTGGGTCATAGCCTGGCAGCATGCTATCTGCCTGCCTTCTTAATTGGGCATTGATACATGAGCCAAAGAGGCCAACAGGACAGGAGACAAATAGTTTTATTTTTAACATGGGGGAAATTAATATCAAATTACTCTTTAAAAGCAGGGAAAAAATACTCTCCTAATAGCTTAGTTAGTTATTCCATTTGACTGCAAATTAACTGTTAAGCTGCTGGAACTCTAAGGGAAATTCTGTTCTTGATTATTATTATTATTAATAATAACATCCCTTGAATTTGATATAACATCTTTCACGTCAGGAGGATGTCTCAAAGCGCTTCACAGGATATCTATAAAGTGTAGTAACTGTAATTCTGGGGCAAACTCAGCTCCGCTTTACTGTCATACTCTAAAGAATATTAACATTACAGTAATACTAAAACTCATGAAGAGCTTTATTACTGCAATATTAATCATAACATAATTTTTCAAAACATAAAACCACTGTGCCTATTTTCTTGCGCTTGCCTTCTAGTTTCTCTTCTCCCTTTTGCTCATTCGGTTGCATTTTTATCTTTAATAATTTTGTATTTTCCTACAACGAATCTACCCCATCTTACTTTTTAAACCTACAGCTTTTATTTCTTCCAGCTCCCACTATCCAATATAGAGACGAGAGCAATGTTTTTTTAAAAAGGCCTTTGATTTACTGACCGCCTTCAAAGCCCACACTCCAATGACTAACATGCTCACATTATAGATGCAACCAGGTCAATCACCTATGCATTAAAAAGCACATCTCTGCAGCTGCCAAGCTCTCCTGTTTAAAGTGATGCATGTCTTAAAGGTGAAGCCATATATGAATCTGAAATCCAGCACTTAGTTTGTATATACCAACATGATCTGCACCATTATTTCCTAAAGAAACCCAATTAAATTATATTTAAAAAAAACAATAAATTCCTTATAACTCGACCCTGGCTGAACTTGTCACTGCCACTTAAGTCATCATGCTGCCAATATTCTGGCCACATTTGTTTACATATTAATATGCCCAACTCGCCACTGAACCCCCTTTCCCTTGGATTGATGAGTTATCAGGAGTTTACTGTATTTAAACACAAATCAAGACAGATAGACCTTAGGGCGAAATTGGACACAGGCTTATATCATGTGTTTCTACAGCCCAAAAATATAAAACCAACTCACCTGAATCTCCAATTGCTGCACAACTTGCATTTGAACCCGACACTGTGCAGTACTCCTGTCATCCAATGCATGTTCATTATTAAGGTGCCTGGAAACATATGCAAGGACAATTTTGTGCATTATGATCGTCATTTTAATTAAAGGTTTGGTCCTCTAGAAGAACCAAGTTGATGGCACATAAGAATTCAAAAGATTCCAATGGATAACAGGCTTTTATTTAAACAAGAAGATTCCAGTTTCATGGTGCACATAAAAGTCTGGTCTTGCATGTTACAAAACAGTTTGTAAATTGATGGTAACCAGAAAAGTGAAAAGAAAACAGCTATTTGTGCCACAAATGGCTAAGAACTGAATGTCTAAATAATCTGGAGGGTGGTGTCGAGAATACAGGGAGAAACTTCCTTCTTTTTTTGAATAGAGTCATGTCCACCTAAACAGAAACTTAGTTTTCACCGAAAAGATGGTACCTCTAAAAATGCAGCACTCCTTCATTACCACAGAGCGTCAGCTTAGCCTGTGGCTAATTGCATTGTGTAACAAAAACACGTGATTATGCGTCAATTCTTGAATGAGGCAAAGACTTGAAATCTGTTGGGACAAAGACTTGAAGTTTGCAAGAATTGTACCAACTCGATTCATGCCGGTTTACACCTGAAAAACTGTAATAAGTTTGTATCCTTCGAATTCTTATAAGCTGTCTCCTTCCATGCATATTGGAGTGGAGCTCATGGAGTGCCTCATCAGCATTCAATCGTTCCAAATCCTATGTGAATCCGGGTTACCCCTCCCTTGTTATTAGACCCTCTGATCCCTCCTCTTTCACGTAAAGCATTTAGTTTGCAAAATGTTGGTATAGAAAATGTCAGCTTTTCCTTTTCCCTTGAAGCGAAGCATTAAAGTCTCAGCCATTTTAGGAATTCGCTAACAAATTGCTCCCAAGAATAAATTTTCCCACAGCTGACCTTATTAATACCTACAAGAAAAAAGGTTAAGCATTTGTCATTTTTACTTTTCCATGGGCGTACTTATGGCTATACTGGATCAGTGCATCTTATCCCGGAAGCTAGTATTGGTCGATATAGATAGGTTCAGGGAGGAAGTATTTCGCTGAATAAATTAGTAAGTTTACTGTTCACCAGAATATATACTTTGCGAACTAAGTAGGCAGAACAGTTTTGTGATTATACTGGAGACTTGACGGCATATAGCCATAATAGTTGAAGCAATTAGTAGCTAAAATACAGCATATCACTTTGGTTTGAGCAGTGTAATTTAGGCAACAGTAGGTTCGGCATCACATGTATAATCTATGTGTTGCAGGATAACCTCCACTCCCCAAAAAATCTTGAGTGATCCAATGCGCCAAACAGTAACAGAATTACACATTACATGAATATATGAAACGGAAAGACATTCAGCCAAACTGGTCCATAACTGGTACTTGTACTTTATATGTGCCTCCATTCATACCAACCCCCTATCCCATTCCTCATGTTTCATCATGTTTCCTCTTAAATATGTTGATCCTTTCTGCTTCAACCAGTGAGTTCCACATTCTCAATACTCTTGTTTAAAGAACTTCCTCCTAAACTCTGTTTTACATCTGCTGGTGGCTATCTTATGCTCCCTTGTCATGGACTCCTTTGTGGAGTCCAGTAGCTCAGTGGTTAGAGCACTCGCTTTGCAAGCGAGAGATCTGAGTTCAATTCCAGACAGGGCGAAACCTTGGGCAAGTTTCCTTACTCCACACAGAGCCTAATAATAATCCCTCCAAAAAACAAACAAAAATAAATTGGTCATTTTCAATCTACGACTCTTTGTGGGACATTGCTGTGCGGAATTAGCTGCCGCATTCGCCAACAAATATACAGTCAATTCACTTTACACTGTGTTTGTTCTGTGAAGCACTTTGGGACATCCTCCCGACGTGAAAAGCGCTATATCAAATGCAAGGATTATTATTATTATTACTCACCATCAAGTGGAAACAGTGTATTTATATTCATCTCATCAAACTCGTAGACAGAAACAAATACTGTTTCCATCCTACCCATTTTGTGAGATTTCATTAACAGTCACCACCGAAGAAAATAACTTGTATACTTAGACAGCAATACAGCCTTCTGAGATGCACCTACGTATACGTGTGGGACTGCTAGTAAACCCATTTTTAAAAAGAAACAAGAGTCTGATAAAAAAAATCACTCGTGTTATCTGCTCAAAAATTCAACACATCTTTTAGTCATTTAGGTGACAAATTACTGTGCGAGGAGCTGTTTACAGCTGAACTGGTATAATCTTTTATTTTATTGAGTTATAAGATGCAGTGTTTAGATGGTTCCTGGCATGGCCTTTTCCAAAAGGAACTGGTCCTGGATGAGAGGAAATAAGGAAGAAAATTGGGTTTTGCATGCTTACGTACCGGCTAGTAGCATTTCTAGCTTCAAAGAAAGTATTATCTTGAGCACTGCTGTGTGAAAAGGATGGTGAGGTGTGAGCTGAGTCATTCCTTTCACACAAGCTAACATAAAAGATAATGCCCTGACGAAGCCAAGGAGGCATCATTAGGTGACATGTAAATACATTACAGATCATGTACTGTATCTCCTTAGCCTATCTTCTTGCTGTACCATGTAATGATTTATAATGTTTTGACTGTAGTCAGCAGGTTAATAGCTGATGAATGTTGAGCTTTGTGCCTCAGTCAATGAAAACCAGGTTTGGTTGCTTGGGCAGGCAACAGATTCGCCAAGGTGTGCAAGAGGGTTAAAGAATGGCCGAGCAGTAGATTAAGTGTTAGATTTTCACTTGTGGTGGGTCGGGTGGGTATAGGCTTCATTGCAGCAATATTTACTGCTTACGGATAGATTTACATCGCTCCTGGTAAGCATGTCATTTAAGGAGATACATCTTGCCAGAGTGCTATTTTTATAGAAAAGAAACTGGGAATACCCTATAGAAACATAGCTTTGCCCACTCTAAAATTCTATTTTCACATCTCCCTGACTTCCTCCTTCCTTAACTCTTTTTTAAGGTAGATCTCAAAATGTACCTCTTTGACTGCACTTTTGGTGACCTATCCCCTCCTGTTCCACCCCCACCAGCTCCCATCCTGTACTACAAACAACCTTCAGGTGAATGACCAATTTTATCTGGGTCATTAAATGTAAAACATAATTTTGAAAATCTTGTAAATTAACCAGCCACTGAGAAGAGAACAATTTTTAAGAAAATCTTAATAATAAAAATGGGTTTGATTTCCACAACAATCCTGGAGCTTAAAAGAAATTACAAAGAAGACTTTATGAGATATACATTCACGCACCAGCACTGCAATTTCATTTGTCATTGTACATTTGGGGATTTATTTTTTAAAAATCTCCGAAGTATTTCTAAGTTACCGAAACAAAAATGCAAATGTCGACAGACAGATAATAACATACAGCACTTTATTTCCAGCACAGAAAGCTGAGAGGAGCAGATATCCTTTGTATTTTGTAAATTAGAAAACTGTGTAGCAAATATGCCAATCCTGCTTTTACTCTCTCTATCTCTCTATCTATCAAAACCTGACTGGATAATAAAAATATAACAAAAGTGCTTTCATCTGCCATACATTGGAGCAACTCTATTGTTGGTCTGTACTCTATTGTATGCAAATGGTCAAGAGACTCCTATAGACGCATTCCATTTAAAAATGACATCCGCTGACTTCTAACATCACTTCATATATACTGAAGTGATCAACCTGCAAATAGTTAAAAATGTGTCCACGTTGCATTTATCTGACTGGCAACGCTGCATTACAATGACAGTAGGCGTTTATCTTGGTTGAATTTGCAATGAAACAGAAAAGATTCACATCTGTAAAATAAGCCTTCATTTCACTAAATGAAATTATAAAAGGTCTCAACAAAGTTACATGATGCAATGCCTCCATGTCGAGATTATTATTGATGACAAATGCACAAAGCACTCTTAAAAGGACACAGTTAGCAAATGCCAGAGCTGCCACTTCTGTTCTATAATTATAGGCTAGCTTGCAGTTCCCTTATCATTTAAAGAATAAACTCCAGTAGATCAATGAACACTTGTGATGCTCCGTGCATTTTTTTCCTACCACATCTGCTGTGTCTCTTCTTGCTATTGTTTACCAGTGGCGAACAAAATAATAGTGCCTATTCATTCTAGTATTTAATTATGCCAATCACAGTAGAGACTGGGCACAGAAGAAGAAAAGGTATAAATAAGCTGCCACAATAATAAATCAGAAGATCTTTCATAGGTTTAAATTATTAATCTATTTATTTATGATTATTTTATACAGAAATGATGATTCTCTTTCATGCTTTAGTAACCACTTCAGGTAAGACGTATTGCTCCTCACAAATTCTCTGTGATTTATATAACAAGAATGAGATAAGCTGAAAAATGATAGGATTGGTGGATTTTCTCCCAGTCTGTGCTTAATTGCTGTTTCAAAATGCATATGCAAAGGGACATTTCATTAATCATTTAATCATATCCCTAGCAGGAAGTTGGACCTAATGTTGCAAATACCCTTTTCATTTCAATGCTCCATAATGCTATCGTATGCACTTGATATATTGCATATGTCATAAATTATAGCCGTTTCAAAACGACCAAGTGGGTTGTTATCCCCATAGATGCTTGTTACAAAACCTTTATTAAGTTTTCTACTTATTGCCAGTTCTATTTCACAGCTTCATTCCAGTCTCCAATAACAGCTATTTCTAATGTCAAAGGTCTGTAAATTACCCATGCAATCCCTAACACCATTTCACAGACCCGTTCTACTTCCACTGGTCTGCTAACAAGGCGATTACACACAAATTACTGAATGCCTATGAAATATTTAAGTGCATCCTACTCTGCTATGCATTAATAAGAGGAAAGCAGGCTCTGGAATTCTGGTTAGCTCCAGTCCCTAATGTCCCCTAATGAGCCTCTTACAGCGACTCTAGTTCAAATACAGAGGTGAAGGAAAAATGCAAAGGGTGCCTTCGAAAAGCCAGCGCTGTACAAACATTTCATGAGCCAGCTCTAATTTATGGGTCACTTTATAGG